CCCCTGTGACAGCACAGACCCGCCAGCCCCGCCCCTGCCCCCTCCCCCCATCCAGGAAGTAGACGGTACCCGTCTGTCTGACACTATACAGTCTGTAATATAAAATTACACAGGGTTTATTGCTTGGTTTGGTGTTGAAACCAGCTGAGAGAGTATAAGAGTGCCGCACCTGTCAAACTGAGGTGTGAAGTGATGATTTATTACATGATTTATGGCCTTTTGGCTCCACATACTTTTTATCTAGATCAAAGGCTGTCATCTGTTATGACGTGTAATCACACTTTGTGTTACTTTTCATTCTCAAAGTGCATCATTATAGGTTTGACAGAAACTTTTCACCACTGATTTATGCTTTTATAACAACATTAAAGGGTTTTATTGGGGTTTCCAGTGGGAATAGGACCAACACCCCCAGGGTAGCATTATTGCATCAAAGCCATTTTATTAGGCTTTGCCTGGCTATAGTTCAGAGCAGCAGCACCCAGACTTAGTTTGTTGCTCTCTAAATATTTTATGGATGTATGACTTAAAACTAAATTAAATTTAGAAAATACATTTAAAAATAAATATTAGCCCAATAAACCAGATAATGCTTTTAACTTAGGAAAGGCGGTTGTTTCTTTAGTTTAGGGAGGCGACAGTGGTGCAGTGGGTAGAGCAGTCGTCTCCCAACTTGAAGGTTCGAATCTCAGTGCCTGCAGTCCACGTGTTGAAGTGTCTTTGGGCAAGACACTGAACCCCCAAGTTGCCCCCGATGGTTAGAGCCATCAGTTGAGTTGGCGCCGCAGATGGCTTCCATCGGTTCTGTACCAGAAACAAATTCCTTGTGTGTAACATACTTGGCCAATAAAGGTGATTATCCTCTGTTATCCTTTCGAGGAAGTTTAGTCCTGATAGTTATGATAGATTTAAAGCTTAAAACCAAATTAATTTGGATAAGACAAATGTAATGTTCTAAATTAAAACACACATCAGACATACTTTAAAACGTATCTGTTCCTTTCTCTTTTCAGAAACATTAACAGACTTGCAGCATGCAGCGTTAACAAAAGACTAAACTTACTGTCATGTCCCTCAAAGTAACTAGATTAAGTCCTTCAAATGTTGTAGAATAAGTCGATAAGCCACTGCACCAAAGTCCTTTAAAACAGTTTATGTTTAAGGTTTCCTTGCGTGGTATTATAACTCTTAGATGTCACGTTCAATTCAACTTATTTGCCATCAGCCAAACTCAAAAAAATGTTACACTTTAAGTTGGTATTTATTCTTTTTCTCTGGTGCTGTTCACTCAGCTTCTTTTGTGATGTTTTGTCTTGTTTGTTTCTTCTTCTGTGGTGTTTTGTCTTCAGTGACCCTCCTCTCTCGGAGGAGTCGCCGTCACCGCTCACCCCCCACCACTCGCTCTCTCTCTCTGAGAGTTCGCTCTGACCCTGCCTCCCGCTGCCGCTATACGCGCTCTCTCTTCCTGCCTGCTGTCCGATCACGTAAGCCGAAGGAGGTGCACTGCCATTCAATGGAAACTTAGGAGAGATTTAAAGAGATTCTACAAATAATCAATAAAGATACTGATCAATTTGTTATCTTGTTTAAAAAACAGAAATAAAACACAGGCAGGAAAAAAGTCCTTGATAACGTTACAGGGTCCTTGTATAGGTTTCAGAAGTCAGTGAAAAAGATGTAAAGGTCTTGGAGAAGGTTCTAGAAATCCTTAAGAAGGTTTGGAGAGCTTTGGAGTAAGTGCTAGGACGTTTGCTGATGAGTTTCTGGAGGTTAGTGAGGACCTTTTTCTGATTACTGAACACCTGCGCAGTAGTTCTGATGTTTCTGACTCAGCTTCTCTCTGTCAGTGATGATCCCCCCTCCTCCCCCCTCCCCTCCCCC